TGTCAATCTTGATCCGGGATCATTAACATGCCATATTTTTGGATTCATCTCGTTGAAAGCTACCTCCCAGAATATTTTGTGGATTTTTAGGCAACTTGACGAAGATCTCAATTTGTTGAAAGAGGGGGCAAAACGTTGACCGGAAAAATCGGTAAATGGTAAAAAATAAAAAAAAATAGGAAAACCTTCCTCGAGTTATTTAGACAATTTATATGCAAATTATTGTGAACCCTACTACCCTTGTTCTACAGGAAATTATTTTAAACCCAGGAAAAGTTTTATTGTTTTTTTTTTTAAGTTTTTTTTCTCGAAAAAAGGCTAATTCATAAACCAGAAGGGTAGGAGTATACTGCAGTCTATTTCAATAATCAATCCACAAATCTTTTATATCTAGGTGTTCCGCAAGGCTCTATTTTTAGCTTTTCTTTGCTTTGTGTGTTAATGACTCATGTCTGAATGTTAAAACTTACATTAATACAGATTCTACATTGGGTAAGCACACACAAATTCGTAATGATTAAAAAAATATCTATATAGCCATTTGGTGGAAGGTTATTTGAACAGGACTTCCCTCGCCTTTGAAGTACAGTCTAACAAATCCCGTTTCTATAAAAACAATTAAAATTTGATTTTGTGAACTTTTATTTGTTATAACCAGAGTTAGGCACAGTCGAAGTGATGGGGAATCAATCGGACAAATATTAAAAACGACGGCGCGACGTCAGGCGATAAATTTGGCTGGTCGACTATGCAGTCGCAACCTCAGTGGCGTTTGATGCAATTCAGGGTTTATATAATCAAGATCATCACGAAAATTCTGATGTTGGACAGAGATTTTTAATTTTTAAAGCATTTTAACATCTAGGAGAACTCGTATAACTAGAAAAAGTAGTAATTATTATTCCCGAAGTTTTAGGCCACGACTTCAATAGCGCTGGCGATCGAACAGCAATACATGTGACTATGAGTGATCAATGAAAAATATAGATAATAGCAGTAACAGTGCAAGAAAGTAAAAACTCAATGTCACATTCGAACATGCGAACAACATGGGATATCACATTGTTGGTAGGGATGAAAAGGCAAATTTTGTTGAGCGTTTTACTATCTACACGATACTCCTAACGTACATGTAAAATTACGCCACTCGGGTACTTTCGGAGATTATCTCTCTAATAAAAATCGATACAGACAACAGACAACAGACAGACAGGCAGACCTATTTTTTCGTACCCTAGGGATCATGAAACGTCTAGAAAACATGAAGGAAGCCATTCGTCCGATGAACCCAGGTACTTTGGGAGATTATCTGTCTTATAAATATTGATTCAGGCAACAGAAAACAGATAGACAAGCACACATATTTTTTCTCACTCAAGGGATCATGAAACGTCTAGAAAAGATGAAAGTAGTCATTCGTCGGATGAACTCTAAAATAGACTAACAAAAAAACAAAGTAGTTGTTGAGATATCTCGATACTATTGAAATTTCATATTCATCTACTGAATTCGTAAATTTCAGCTTTGTCTCGAGTGAAATTAAAATTAAAACTGCCTTTTACAATAGTGACAGCTAAAGTGTATGTAAACATGAGTCACCAAATTTTGTTTTTTTGAATTTTATACAGTTATAATTTGTGTGCATGTATTTATACAGGATGTTTCAACAGTTTGGGGGTGGTAGATTACGCATATATCGTGGAATATTGAAAACAAAATTAACGAACTCTAAGAGAACTCATTTCAAACACCAATTATTTTCAAATCTACAAAGTATTCCATTTCAAGTTGTCAAAGTTGTATTTTTTACAAAATTTAAATCTTTTACACGAAAGGGAATAAAATAAAATCAGAAATATGAACAATTTTTAAAATTTTCATATTTGCTTAAAAATCCGTGTTTATGGTCCTGAACCAATATTTTCGAAATAGCCTTAGAAGACGAAATTTTTAAAAAACCAAAAATTTGTCATATTTCATTCAGCGAATTTGGGAAACATAGTATTAATTTTAGACAAAAAATTGTAGTCGAAAATAACTTATCGATGACGAAATCTACACAAGAATCCCGAAATTTTAATGGGGGGAGGGGGGCATTGAAAAAATGAACTTTTGGAAAAATCGTCCACTACACAATAGTGTGAAAGTGTTTGCAAAATTAGCCTTATCTTAGCTAGTACTAGCCTCAACAATTTGTCCTTTATTTTCTTAGAGAATACGTCATTTGCCAAGATCAGTTTTATTTTGGCAAATATTAGCCCCGCCCACCCACCCTTTATTTTCTTGGAAGAGCAGGTCATCTGCCAAAATCACTCTTATCTTGGCAAATACTAGCCCCGTCCACCCACCCTTATTTTTTTAGAGGATATGTCATTTGGAAAAATCAGTCTAATTTTAGCTAGTGCTAGTCCCGACCCCTTGTTCTTTATTTTTTTAGAGAGTAGGTCATTTGCCAAGATCAGTTTTATTTTGGCAACTACTAGCTGGCCCACCCGCCCTTTATTTTCTTGGATGAGCAGGTCATCTGCCAAAATCAGTCTTATCTTGGCAAGTACTAGCCCCGCCCACCCACCCTTTATTTTCTTGGAAGAGTAGGTCATCTGCAAAAACCAGTCTTATCTTGGCAAGTACTAGCCCCGCCCACCCACCCTTGTTTTTTTAGAGAATATGTTATTTGGCAAAATCAGCCTAATTTTAGCTAGTGCTAGTCGCGACCACTCGTTCTTTATTTTCTTAGAGAATAAGTCATTTGCCACGATCAGTGTTATTTTGGCAAATACTAGCTAGCCCACCCACCCTTTATTTTCTTGGAAGAACAAGTCATCTGCCAAAATCAGTCTTATCTTGGCAAGTACTATTAAAAAATTCACGATTCCGCCATTTTTTAAAATGGAGGCTTAGAATTTTGCGTAAAACTTTTTAATCATCTTACCTTATCATACATATAAAAAACGAACAAGGTTTAAACTTATTTACACAGAGTATTTAAATGTACAAATTGATAGTTTTCTCGTGTTATTCTAAATCTAAAAAATCTCAGAATGCAAATTTCTTGAAGACAAATTTATTAGAAACATAATCTCCGAAATACCTGAACTAATTTTTGTCAAATTTTTTATGTATATTAGGAATATCACGTAGATGGTTAAACGCTAACCAAAATTTGGCTAATCATCCCCATCCACAAGTTGATGACGTAATTTCAAAGAATTCTATTTTAAAATTATTTAAAAATTGTACAGTGGACAGTAATATACTCCTATAGCTGTCAGTCCACTTTGTGTTTTATCCCTAAACCTTCCAAATGTTAATAAAATAATTAATACAGTATAATAACACAGTCTCACGTTTGATGTCACCCTTAGCCGTTTGTTTTTTTCTATTATCTATATGTGTTTGACGTCATAACAAATTTTTATTGATCAAATTTAGAACGAGTCACCCCATTTTCTCGAAAAGGTGAGAATAAGCACGTCTTTATTTAATAAAAATTATAATTATATAATAAAATCAAACAAATTTCTCCGTGACGTTCTTCTAAAGTTTGTTTTTATTGCTGAGGGGCCATTTTTCTCCGTCAGTTATCTGCTTTAAATATATTTTACATTGTCCGTACGTCCGTACAATCCTTGCAATTTGCGCCCCCAAGGTCAGAGGTTGCGACGGTGCTATGCTAGACTTGTACTTCGCGAACGAGGGAAGTTCTGTCGAAATAAACTTCAACCAATTTTTTTAGTATTTGTAATTTTTAGCTGACAGTCCGGCAGGACACTTGTATAATTGATGAGTTGAAAATTCTTATACAGTCGTCAGAGAATATAGAAAAGATGTCACAGCTCTCATAATTTCAAAAACGAAATTTAAGCAAATATTGATAGTTGGGAGAAACTAATCATACTTACCTTTTTTGGGTTTACACGTTCAGAAAAGACGAATTCTTGTTGTTCATGTAATAAAACAAAATAATTATCTACACCTCGAAACTGAGTAGCAAGCCTTATTAATCCTACTCACACGAGTAAGATCAACCAGGTTTGCCCGAAGCACTAGAACTGAACTGCTCAACTTCTTGTTTAGTTAATTAAACTCTGCACGATCGTGTGTGCACTTTATATGTTGTTACATTTTGTGTACAAAAGCACATCCAAAAATCCTGTTCCTATTTTTTGTTCACGTTTTACATAAAAGCACTCTAACAAAGTTTACAACTTTATAGAAAAAGTAGAGCTCTGTGTATATACGTATAGTTGCTACAAGACGACTTATTACGAAACATATCTGCGTAATTAAACCGTCGAAGCCATCAAACTAAGTCAACATAATTCTGCTTTGTACACCGCTGCACGGAATATTGCACTTTTTCTCCTAGATCATATCAATTATATATTTATCCATCCGAGCATCACGCGGCTACAACAGATGTTAACAAACTCTCCTCAGTTGTCCATTAATTGGCAATTACCTTCGTGCTCTATCGTCAATTACGATCTCTAACAAAACTGTTGATTGTTATCCATTAATGGCTCGCTCTTTGCAGCTCTTATGGTGTTATGACCTGGACATCACGAATAAATTGCAGGACTCGGGTCGAGCGCAATAGTAATACGATTATCCATTCATTTCCTTAAAACGATGTCTGGGTCTACATTTGCGTAATTAAAATTCGACTCTGGAAAGTGAAAAACATTTCCACTGGAATTATGATTCATGCGCCCCGACTAAGAGTGCTCCAATATACGTTCCGGTAATTCCCGGAACATTTTCTCGGTGTGCATATGTGGGCTTTGTAAATGGATGCAATAAATAAACACGAGCCGCTACAAGTCGTTATAATTACGAAGGCTATGTGCAGCAGGGGATCAGGAAGTGTCCTGCGATTTTTCCTGCTGTTGGGTTTTTTCAATGGATGCAGTTGTATCTCGTATCTCGCTGGCTCGTCGAGTGTGGGCGGAATATCAATGCTCACATCATCACATACAGACTAGGAGAGGCGGACTTAAATGACTTCTGGGTTTGTTGTTCATGGAAATGTAGGACAGGACGCGAAATATAAAAAGGCGAGAAGATATGGTAGGTTTTTACACGATGTATGGCTACGATTTTGTAGTCAATGATACCTAGTTTGGCATGAAGATCATCTAGAAAGACAAACATTCAAAAGTGTATTTTTTCAGATGTAACTATACAATTTACAACGAAAAGTTTCAAGTTTTTAACGAGCAAATTTTACTTCCTTTTATGTATATTGATTTGAAATAGCATTCAGCTGACTGTGTTTCAGTAAACACAATATTATTTTATCATTACTGTGGTCGTAAAATGGAGCTATCATCCAGTATTATATTTTGCATTATGTATGTCTAATACAAATTCACAATTAATCAGCAACCCACACGTACGAGAATCAGGCGGAACAAGAAGTGAGAGCCCTTGCTAATTGAATAAATTAGCATATGACCTCATCATCACAATGCACTGAAAGTTAGTCTCATATTGATCTTTCATTTCAACCATAAAAATAACAAATGAGCGATTTTGCCTTCGTATGGTTCATTAATTTTGAATGCTTGTGCCGAGTGGGCTGAACGTCAACCTTTTTTGACGAACATATGCTAACAATTTTAATTTTACATTCCTGTAGGTCACTGACGTAAGATTAAGGATTCTTTACCAATTTCAGGTAACTAGTGAAATTATGTTTAATAAATTCTTGACATTTAATTTAGAGAATAATTTGGAAATTGAACAAATTGTGAAACATATTTTGAATTCTTTCCATTTTTATTCTGATGACTAAGGCATGTTAATTGTTTCCATTTTAGGCACAAATGAATGAGATATTCAGGAATTTTGTAGACATTTTGAATAGTCAAACGGACAGACGAAGAAAATTAGAAAATGGGACTTATGACAAAAATAATACTCTTATTAATATTTATTTCAGAATTCAAGATATATTTCGCAAAGACATCATTACAAGCTTGTAACAGAAGACGGAAATGATTAGACTTTTGGACAACAATAACTCTTCACTTTTTTTTCGAGTGAAAATAAAGACGATATATTTACTGTCAAAAGTTTTATTAATAATAAGTGTATGTTTCAGAAGATTTTTTGAATTTTCTATTCTTCACATAAATCAGTCAGAAAACACAACAAGAAGTGTTAACGGAGTTCTTAAAGGCTTCTGGGCCACTCGAAGGATAAAACAAAAGAGAGAAAGTAAAGAATTTATGAAATCGATTGTAAGAGATGTAACTTGCAATAAGTGGGGCAAGCAAGAAGCTCTATTATCATAATTTATTTATTCAAAGTTTAGTGAATCAGAAAATTCTAGTTTTCGAACATTTTTAATTTACTACAAAATTAGCACAGACTGTTTAAAATCAGTTACAGAACTTAACGAATGAAAATATCTGGATGCTTTCGAACAAGTACAATTATTTTAAAAGAAATTATTTAATGTTAAAAACAGTGGCGTTTTTTATGTGACAGGAATGCAATAAAGTGAATGATGAAGAATTTTAAAGTCTATTTTAGGAAATAAGAAGCAAACAATCTGGCCCCCATTGCTTCTATGCTGCTGTTACCACAATTTAACTTCTTCTGTTTGTATTTTGAGTAGTTATAATTTTCGATGTATTTATTATTACTTAAGTATTTCTTCCAAGGGATTTTCTTCTCTTTAACTATTTTTTTTATATCATTGTTCCACCAAGCCCCTTGTCTCTTTTTATTTGTATTCCTACATAGCTTTAAGGTTTTCCACAGTTTGTCCAAAAATTGTTTGTTTCTTTTATTCTATTTTATTTTCTATTTTCCACTGATATTCTTCCTTCACTTTTTCGTACTTCAGTCTTTCCACTATTGACATATTCTTTGCTCCTTTTTTTTTGTTTCTTTATTCTCTTATTTTTGGGGGTTCACCACCTGGAAATCCGTGTCTCCGGCTTGAGAGCAACCCCGGTGCTCATTCCCCCGAAGAAGAAGCTGGCCCCCGAGTGACCGCCGCTCCTGACCGGAATTTCAAATTCGATCGTTTATCTTTCTCCATTCTCTTATTCCAGTTCTAAACCTCTTGTTGTTTTTTCCACACCCCTGTATATCATCACGTGACCTTACCCTATCTCCATATATCCTTGTCCTTTCGTTTTCGTTCTTGTTTCTCCCATTACGTTTACCCTCTTACAGTTTACGTCGCTAGATTCCATGTTTTTGCTTTCGCTCTTTTAAGTGTCTCTATGTCTGTTGTTCTACTTTCTTCTTTTTTGTTTATTCTTTTCCCGTTTATTTAATTTTTATCCTTATTTATGGCCTTTTCGTCATCATAATTTTCCATCCTTTTGTCTTTACTGTTGAGTTTTTGGGATATGTTCTTGGTTCTATTCCCTCCATTCATTCGATCTCCATTTCTCTTCGTTTATTATTAATTTCCTATATCTTATTTGGGTTTGATTCCCTTTACTTTTTTCTTCCTTTTCGCGTTCCCTTATACCCTTTTGAATCTCTTTCTCTCTTCCTGTGAGGTCATTTTTGATATATATTTTCGCTTCGCTTGTCTTAAATTGTCGTTTGTCCTTAATACATTGGTCTTTTCGTCCCAATTTTCCTTTTCGTTCACGTTTTTTTATTCACAAACTTTTTTGCATTTCAAATATTTGTTTCAGTTCTCAGCGTCGGTCTGGTGAACGTTCTCATTCATAATTCAACTCTTCGTGGTCCTTCGCGTTTGGTAAATATCCGGTGGTTCCGTTTCTTCTCTTTTTCTAGTTTTTCCACTTTCTTATCTAACTTTTCAATATTACTTTCTTGGACTTGTACCTGATTTCTTAGCTTACTGTTTTCTTTCAGTGTTTGCACTATTTTTCCGTACTGTTCTGCCATACTCTTTTAGATCTGTTTCCATTTCCGTGTGTTACTTTTCCATTGTTTTCTCTCCAATGGAGGCGTTCTTCTAGTTATTTTACTTTTTATAAATATGAAACAGAAAATATAGTAATGAGACGCAAAACATTGGAAAATTTCACAACCCAGGACGGAGTGAGACAAGAAATGATTTTGCCCGCTTATACAGAGTTTCTATAAATAAATATAGGGTCTAAGTAGGCCTTGGAAACGTGCCGCTTCTCACATTTGGATTTTACTAGATGCCCAAGGACTCACGATAACTACCACACGCATTTGTATAACTGCCTCAATGCTTCATATCTTAAAAATAAAACTACATAATTGATTAAACAAATGTATTGCGGTTAAACATCACAGTAAATGTTGAAAATGTTCACTATTTTGTTCAAGGCACATGTTCACTCTATTTTTAATTTCAAAAATCTTCAGTAACATCTTTTCGTGAATACTTTTGTACTCATTGTTAAATTTCATGTTGCAACAGGAACTCCTGATTGCCGAGGAAATCTTGTCAAATCATCAACAACTTCAAATTTTTTGAAAAAGGATTCAGATGGACCCTACAAATGGAACATTGCCTGTTTTTTTCAGTTTATCAAAAATTGGCGATTCAGTAAAAAGTTACAGTATTTTTTCCTCCAGTCAGCTTTTAAATCTAAGTGGGGTATTACTATTTACCCTTAGAAACATTTCCCTAATTTTTTCTTTTCGCATTTTTTAAAAATCCTTATGTGATGGATAAAACGGGGTTTATATTTTGATTCAGCACTTACAAATATATCTGTATTCAAAATCCTTATCTCTTGAACCTTTGGAAATTTTTAGTTTGACCTCCTCTACCACTAAAACATCAAATTAGTCTTATATCTTAAACTTCAACGCTTATTGTAATTCATAATTGAAAAATATGCTATGACGACTCCCATACTGAACTTGTGTTTAAGTTTGAATGCAGAGGGTTCGATTCTTGCTATATTCACTTTTATATTTTCTTTATCGGTTACTATACAGAGGATATTCGAGACATAAATTTTTTCTTACTAAAATCTGTTGAATTTCATGATCATTCACTCTATTTGCGATACACATTTAAAAATTATGTTTTTTAGGTATAAGTCTAGGTATAATTAATTTATTCATCACAAGAATTACATAGTAGGTACACTGGACCTATCGAAAATTAAGAATTTTACAAATTCTTCTAATGATTAAAAAGCATTCTCAATCAATAAGGTTTTTAAACAAAATCTAAAACTGGCGTAACTTTTGTCTTTAAAACTTAGTGGAAGACTTAAATAGCTGATGAGAAAAAAACAGCCTTTTTAAAAAAACTGACTGATGTATTAAGATTTTACAAACAATCCATATTTAATATTTTTTTTTGTGCGGAAGATAAAACAAAACGTAATAACAGAAATAAATTCAGAATTAATTTGTCTGAAATAACTCTTTCTGAATTTGGGGTGTTAGCGACAAATATTTTTTCTCAATCGTAAGCTGGCGAAGTATTATAATAGAAACTCGGACATGTATCTCTTCGAAAAAACAACATTCACCCTTCTAATTAACATTAAACTCTATTAATTATACATCAAAGAGATCAACAAAACAGAATTTACATTAACTTATGAAAAAAGACGATAATTAAACGCTTCCAAACTAAAGGACTGAATTTCACCCTTCCTTCATAAAAAATTTAGAGAAGTAGGAATAAAGGGAAATAATTATTATCTCACAATTCGTTCTACTCTTGATCTAGCTAGGCACGGGAGATGAGCATTGTTTAATTTCACTTATCACAGTTTTTAATATCACTGAAGGAAAGATATATCAAGAATTCAAATGGGCCCCAACGTAAAATTGTAAGCCATTAATATTTAGATACACTCATCCAAATTTAATTAATCGTTGTTCCTTTTCAGCTTTTATAAAATGAATGACATATCAACAGAGTCAGTGAAAGTGTTATGGTATTTTTGTCTCCATCCAGCTTTTAAGACCAAGTGGGCCACTGTCTACACTCTTATAAACGTTTCTTTCTGTTCTTTATTCGCAGTTTTAGCAATAAAAGGAATACTACTTACCTACGACAGTGATGCATTTTTTATGTCGGAATGTCTAGAAACTTGCATTTTAATGGCACATGTAAGTATGCACTAGTCTACGACGAAGTTTGACTTAATAAAAAATGTCCATTTTAGATAATCAGCAACGTATTAGCTTTGCACACTCACAGAGAAAACTTGTTGAAACTCCTCGAACACAAATCTACCTTTTGGGAAATTACAAAAAGCGATGACGATTCATTACGAGTAGAAATTCTAAAAAACAATAATTTTGTCAAGAAAATCATACGCACGTACTTTATATTTACCGTCTTTTCTGCAACATTATTCGATTTACAACCATTTACTACAGGATTGTTACCTTCGGTATGCTATATACCGAACGGGTGGTTCAATTTTCTAACTGCCGTGCTGTGGTACTTGTCATATGTGGCTGTTTTGTCTCTTATAGGAATCGCTTGTCTTTTTTGTTCGCTTGTAAGTTCTTTAACTGAGCAGTTTCAGCTGTTAGCATATAGATTTAGAGAGATGTGCAATAAGAGGTTTGATATTCGGAACGAGTTGGAAACTTTAGTCAGTCATCACAATTTTTTGATGAGGTTTGTAAAAACTCTTCAAAATGATTCTAGTGTTTAATTTTAATTTTTAGTTACTGCGAAGATATAAACACGACGTTTGGAAGTATTTTTTTGCTCGATTTTGTGTTGTGTATAGCTTCTGCGTCCGTATCGGTTTTTATTTTTCTACAACCGTAAGTTTATGTTATTGAGTAATATTCTGCTTGCATTGTAACTAGCTTTATAGGGGAGATTGGGCTTACAGAATGAAATGTATAACACATTTTTTGGTTATCATTGTTGAAATGGGTTTTTACTGTGTTCCATTGGAAATTGCCACAAACACTGTAAGTATAAAAAAATGAATTTGCTTTAAAGAAATTTACTGGTATTAACTATTTCTAGGCAGTTAAATTAACTGACATAATCTATGATTCAAAATGGTACGAAATAGAATCAGTCCCCATCAAGAAGAGTTTAATTCTTACCATAAGCCGGGCTCAGAGACCCATTGTGTTCAGCGGTTACGGATTAATAAACATAAACCTCAACACATATGTTTTAGTAATATTTTTTTGAAAGGATTGTTTGCGTCTCATTAAATGATCTTCGTGTTTCAGATTTGTAAAACCGTCTTCAGTTTCTACACGTACCTAAACTCGGTTAAAAAACTGACAAATAAATAAAACCCTCCAAGTGAAGCATGGCATTATTTTAATGAAAGTGTTAAATATGTAGAAAGAAAATGCACTCATCTCATTAGAAAGAACGAAAAATTATTAATTATGATAAGTATTGTACAGAATATAATAACTAGGTAGTTTAGAGTAGCTTCAAATGTGCTCCCTTATGTTAGTTTTAGTTAATTTTCTTTCCAGTGCGCCAGCGTTAACAATAAATATAAAATCAATTCAGCATAATATGCACCGGAAAATAAATAATATAAGGTTAAAACAACAAGTGTTTCCTTTAAATTTTTATTTTAAAATAATAGAAGAAAATATTTTAACTATTGACAATCTATCACATGTTTTCTCTAAATTTATCAACTTATGTTGGTTGGGTTTTTTCCTTCCGTAAATTTTTAGGTAGTTTTCCTTATTTTACTCCGAATTTTACACATGCTTTTGTTTTCACTACTATTACCACACTTTTAACTTCCTCTCTTTGTCTGTTTTTTATTGTTATAGAAGTAATTCTTCTAAATGATTTTCTTTTCTTTAATTTCTTTCTTTACAGTATTGTTCCACTAGGCACGTTTCAGTCGGCGCTTCTGTGACTAGAGTTTTCCACAGTTCTGCCAAATCCGTTTTAGTAATTGTTTCTTTGTTTTGTCTTATTTTTCTTCTGTTTTCCTCTGATATTTTCCCGTTACTTTTTGACACCTCAGTTTGTCTACTTTTATATTTACATATTATACTGTCTTTACTTTTTTCTTTGTTTTCTTGCTACCGTTTGTTTAGTTTTAATCGATGTCATCACTATTTTATTCACACCTTCTTCTTACTCTTATATTCTTTACATTTTTCAGATTTTTTTCTTCTATTAATAGTTCAATTATTGACTTCTCTCTCCTAGTTATCATTAGCATTTCTCTTGTATACTTATGTATGCGACTTTGTAATCCTCGATTACTTCTTGTATTTTATGCCACAATCTTTTTCTTTATCTCTTCTTCATTTGATCCTTATACTGTTATTATTTTCTATATTTCATTCTCTATTTCTATTTCCAATCTTATTACTCGATCGTACATAATTCTCCATTTTCTGTTACCATTTCTTAATTTCTTGTTAATTATGCAGCCCACTCTTGATTTTGCCGTCTTTGTTTATTCCACTCCACTCTGTGTCATGACGTGACCTTACGCTATCTCTATACATCCTTGTCTTTTCTTTGCGTTTCTGTGTTTTTGTCGGTATTTCCGTTCCTGTTTCTTCCGTTACATTTAATCCTCTTACATTCCACGATTTGGCTCTTTTAAAAGTATCTGTATCTGTTGTTCCACTTGCCCCTTTTTTATTTAGTCTTCCCGTTTATATCATCTTTATCCTTACTTGTCGCCTTTTCGTCGTCATAATTTTTCATCCTTTTGTCTCTACTGTCTAGATTCTTGGATTATGTTCTTGGTTCTTTTTTGCTTAGACAAATTCTTCCCTGTCTTCATTCGATTCCCATTTCTCTTTAAGTACTTATTATTAACTTCTTATGTCCCATTTTAGTTTGGTTTCCTTAGTTTTTTCTTCCTTTTCGCGTTCCCTCATATGTTTTCCAATCTCTTTCTCTTTTTCAGTAAGGTCAGTATTAATATATATTCTCGCTTCACTTGTCTTGAACTACTTTTTGCATTTCTAATATTTGTTTCAGGTAAACTTTTCCAATTCATTCTTCAATTCTTCGTGGTCCTTTGCGTTTGATAAATATCCTATGATTCTCAAGTTGCTCCTTTCTTTTTTCTTTCTAGTTTTTCCACTTTCATATCTAACTTTACAATTTCACTTTTTTGGAATTGTACCTGATTTCTTGGTTGTCTGTTTTTTTTTCAGTATTTGTTACATATTTCCATACTGTTCTGTCATGCTCTTCTCCTTCTTTTAATTTTTTTATTTCTTCCATTTTCCCTGTGTTAGTTTTCCGTTGTTTTCTATCCGGCGGAAGCGTTCTTCTGATTATTCTACTTTTTACAATTACGAAACAACAGAAAATGTGGTAAGAATAAAGGAGAAAATTTAACAACCAACAGAGGAGTAAGTCAAGGAAGTATCTTGGGGCCACTTTTTGATATAATAATACAGGACAGCATGGTAAAAAAAATAAATAAAAGAAAAGGGGGAACCCCCCCCATCAGCTACAAAATACTAAAACTGATAAAAAAATGCTAATCTTTGCAACAAAAGGGAATTAAAACGTAGAATAGAAAGATGGTTAAAAGAATTAGAAAAATATGACCTAAGAATAAACGCAGGGATATCAGAAAGAATGACAATAGCAAATGAAAAGGTAAAGACGGATAGAAATATGTACAAGAGAAGTAGAAAAAATAAGATATTTAGGACCAATAACAGAAACAAAAAGAGAATTCGAAGAAGAAATGATGAACAATATTACATAAATACAGCGGTAGACAGAACACTCTAGATTACCAGTTCTTAAATATGAAAAAGATATTAAAGTAGAGAATAGGAGGCGGTTTTAGTACCAAAACTCATTTATGGAAGTGAATTATGAGTTTTAAATGAACAGCTCAAAAGTAAAGTTACTGCGTGCGAAATGAAAATCTTAAGAAATTTTGCGGGAACAACGAGAACGGAAAAATGAGAAGTGGAAAAAGAAGAAAAGATCTAAAAGGGAAAAGCGTTAAACAAAAACTTAAAACAGCTCGACTAACATGGTTCGAGCATGGAATGAGAATGGACGAAAACAAGACAGTGAAAGTGATATGTGAAATGGTGCCAGGAGAAAAGAGAAGAAGAAGATCGAGTAGGGCATGGTATGATGAAATAAATGACACAGTAAGGAGACAAGAAATGAAACGAAAGGAGATGCAAAATATAGGAAAACTCATCATAGGAAACGATAGGAAACAATGTAGATGAACATTAATCTTTACACTATGATTTAGTTTTATTTGTTAATAAGATATGAAGCATTTAGGCAACCAGTTATACAGATGCGTGTGGTATTTGTCGTGAGTCCTTGGACAGTTAGTAATATCGAAAATTGAGAGGCGGCACGTTTTCACGACTTACTTCGACCCTATAATCATTTATAGAAATGTATATTTAGCCAAATCAGACAAACAAAAAAACAAACGTAAACGTAAAATCCACCTGTTCCTAGTCTGAAATCTTTACACATCAAGAAAACATGAAATTAAATTTTGGCCAAAACGAAATCACTACAAAACATCTTTAACTAAAACAAGCGCCTCCTGTAATGTTTACGCCAGATAAACCATTGCCCAGTATTTTCAGCCTTCCACCATAATTCATTTAGATTCCTTCGTTCCAGAAATATGCCTTGTGCTCTGCATCTGCAATTATTATAACTGTCTGTTTCAAGAAAAATACCGGGTAATATTGCGTCTAATAAAATATTCATTATGAATAATTACGAAAGTGAGGCAATTTTCAAAACTATTAGTTCAGGTTCCCATGAATAATGCAAAATACAAACCATTTATTAATGTGAAAACATCTTTGTCGAATGAAGTTAATAATTGATTAATTTGATAACGTGTTCCAACCTGTAGCGCTCTTTATTTAAAAATATTTCTCCTTGTTTAAAAATTAATATTTTAATTCAGTCATTGGTAATTTTCAGTTCATGTTTTATTAACTAAAATAAAATAAAATGTGCAAGCTAAGTTAACGACGCATGCTTTGAAAAGTGGCTGGCTTCTGATTGGATGTTAAATTTGTTTGTATTCTTAAAAGCATAAACGTGAAAACTGGAAAGAGTTTTACAGTATTAGTCAAGTGTTGAGTGAGAAACCCAGTGTTCACAGGCACTATATAGAGTAAGAAAAAGTTTAAATTTACATTAATTTTTTTTTGAGTATTTGACATTTAATAATAAAAGTAAGTTTAGGATAACTACCATTTCAGAGAAAAAACGGAATTAAACAAGGGAAATTAACATTACTTTGGAATTATTCTTAAATAAATGTATTCACTAAAACAAAAAGAAATACAAATGGGGCCCAACGTAAAATTGTAAGCCATTAATATTTATATACACTCACCAAAATTTAATTAATCGTTGTTCCTTTTCAGCTTTTATAAAATTAATGACATATCAACAGAGTCAGTGAAAGTGTTATGGTATTTTTGTCTCCATCCAGCTTTTAAGACCAAGTGGGCCACTGTCTACACTCTTATAAACGTTTCTTTCTGTTCTTTATTAGCAGTTTTAGCAATAAAAGGAATACTACTTACCTACGACAGTGATGCATTTTTTATGTCGGAATGTCTAGAAACTTGCATTTTAATGGCACATGTAAGTAGGCACTAGTCTACGACGAAGTTTGACTTAATAAAAAATGTCCATTTTAGATAATCAGCAACGCATTAGCTTTGCACACTCACAGAGAAAACTTGTTGAAACTCCTCGAACACAAATCTACCTTTTGGGAAATTTCAAAAAGCGATGACGATTCATTACGAGTAGAAAGTCTAAAAAATAATAATTTTGTCAAGAAAATCATACGCACGTACTTTATATTTACCGTCTTTTCTGCAACAATATTCGATTTACAACCATTTGCTACAGGATTGTTACCTTCGGTATGCTATGTACCAAACGGGTGGTTCAATTTTCTAACTGGCGTGCTGTGGTACTTGTCATATGTGGGTGTTTTGTCTATTATAGGAATCGCTTGTCTTTTTTGTTCGCTTGTAAGTTCTTTAACCGAGCAGTTTCAGCTGTTAGCATATAGATTTAGAGAGATGTGCAATAAGAGGTTTGATATTCGGAAAGAGTTGGAAACATTAGTCAGTCATCACAATTTTTTGATGAGGTTTGTAAAAACTCTTCAAAATGATTCGAGTGTTTGTTTTTAATTTTTAGTTACTGCGAAGATATAAACACGACATTTGGAAGTATTTTTTTGCTCGATTTTGTGTTGTGTATAGCTTCTGCGTCAGTATCGGTTTTCATTTTTCTACAACCGTAAGTTTATGTTATT